AAAAAAAAAGAAAGACCAGACACATGCACACAATGTGAAAAAGATCTGCAAAACAGACAATGAGATGGTGGTTTGTTGCTTTTTTTCCTCGTGAAAAAGCTTTATCGAAAGTTTTTTTTCTTTAAAGAAGGCATGTAACATTTTTTTTTTTTAAATCACCCCTCTAATCTGGTTACGCTGTATCCTCCCTTTGTCCCTTAAAACTCCAGATGTTTTAAGAGAGAGAAAAAAAACAAAACAAAACTGTAAACCAGCTCGGATTGTCAAGGCGACACATTTTCAGAGAAAAGCGTGCATCACCCCCTTATTTGTGTGTGTTCGTTTACAACAAAAGTGGCGAAGCTGCTCTGTAGCCAAAGGGGAGGAAGGAGGAGGACGGGTGGTCAGCCTAAAGCGGCGGAGGCGATGCAGACGCTGAATTTAGAGCTCGAAGACAAAGAAGTTAAAAATCTACAGTTCAGATTTGGTGACCTCCATCCTGCAGAATAAAGGGCTTTGGGGCGGGGAGGGCTGGACCTGCAGCTCGACACGCTGCAGAAGAAGAAGCGCCAAATGTTGGGTTATTGATGCTACGCGGCGGCTGCAGCACCTTCTACGACTTCCTCCACGTTTCCAGGACAAACAGGAAGCGGCCAGACTCAGGCAGCACGGCCAATAATGCACTTTTCTAGGTTTTTTTTCCGTTTTTAATTCTTTTTTTGTGTGTGGACATAAGACAAGGGGAAACTTTGTACCAATAATTTAAAAAATATCAATATTACAATATAAAACATTTAACATTAACGACACACAGGTGGGCAAGAACGGCAAAATGGGGGAAGAAGGGGGAGGGGCATAATTTAAACTTTTCTCTTATTAATATTTTTATTTTATTTTTTTTTACATGGAAGCGTGGGGGTGGGGGGGTGTGGGGAGGCAAATGAGTCTGTGTGTTCCTGTTTCGAGGGCGCGAATAAGAAAAACTGAAATACTTCATTAAGCACACATTCAAGTCACAGTATTGTTCTTTGTATACAGTTGTACTGTAATACTGCGATCACAAGTATTGCCTTTGAATGTTTTATCCACATTTATCAGACGTTTAGATCCCGGTGGAAGACATTTAAAAAAAAAAAAAAAAAAAAAAAAAAAACACCAATAAAAGTTGTTTTTTTCCTTTTTCTCGGAGAGGACGCGGAGCGAGTCTGACTCAATACACCGATTACAGCGACTGTATATGAAACACGCACGCACACATACACATATATATTTGCTGGCTGGTGAACTAGTGCTCAGGCGGACAAAACCCGAAACGAAAACAAAAACTGATGAGATGACCTGTACAATATTGCTGTTATGTTTTGGAAATGCACATTTTCAGTAATACACTTTTAGAAGGCCTTTATAACTCCTACAGGTCTCGCCATCGAACATGAATGAGTGCAACTACTCGGACAGTGAGTTCACAATGTACACACGCTTGCTCTGCCAACACATTAAACCACAGGACTTTTTTTCTTTAAAGAAAAATAACATTGAGAAAAACCAAAGAAGAAGAAGGCTGAAAAAGAGCTTACAGCGCTCGTGAGACGTTGTACCAAAAAGTGAGAAGGTGCCGGGCACCAGTGTGAGAGTTTAAAAAAAAAAAAAGTGGGTTATTGTACTTGTACACTGGGAATGAAGGCTCCCTTCAGAAGGCTGCTCTGCACGGGGAAGGTGGTTGGAGAGCCGCGGCGATGAGCTCCAAACAGCAGAGAAGCGAGGCGTCGGCTTGCTTTTGTGCTATGCACAGGTTCTCCCAAGGTGAGTAAACAGCATATAAGAAAACTGAAGTGTTTTTCCTTCTTCTATTTGAAGTTTTCAGTAAGGCCACATCAAATTGAAAGTGTCTGTTTTTCCCCCCTCTGTTGTTTTTTGTGTTTTTGGAGATAAATGCCACCAGAACTACAGCACGGACTGGAAGACACCTTTGCTAGGTGCAAGTTTCGAGACACTACATTATTGGATACGTTAGCAGTGACAGATAAAGGATATTATCAGATATGTGACTGGCTTACCTGTGTACACAGTAAGAATATACAGTACTAAGGCTATCCTTTGAAGTCGAAGACTACGCTCGGTACATTAGTTTGAAAGCGGCAGACGGATTTGCTCTCGCAGAAGACCGCTTTCGTGTTCTGCAGATGTTGCTATGGCTCCGTGTGACATGTACTGATGTGTATACTTTCCAGGAGACACAGCGCACACAGAGTATTGCAGGCAAGGCAGAGGCGTTGCTTAAAGCTTTTCTTTTTTTTTTTTTTCTTAAAGACTTCATTAAAAACCAATGATAAAAATAGGCCCTCTGAGGTTTGTCCCCTTTCAAAAGCAAAAAAAACAGAACAAAACAAACAAAGAGATCTTTGCTTATGTAAAATCTTAAAAAAAAATAAAAAAATAAAAACCCAAGACTTCAGACTTTTCCCCAAAAAGAAGAAGCAAGTATATCAAAATGAAACCCAAAAAAAGGCGTTTGAAGTAAGGTCACAATAACATACAGGTTGGGATTTTGGACCTCGAAGGGGAGAAAAAATAAAAAATAAAAATAAAAACAAAGCCCAAGCTCAGAGGAAGAATAGAAACTATTTGGTAACAAAAGTGTACTATATGTTTAATACAAAAAAGGTATGGAGAAAAATGTACCTTTACTAAAGCTTATACAAGATCCTTGGTCCATAAAAACTATGTTATCGTCACGTTTTATGTGTGTCCCTCTGCATCCTTGCACTCCCTCCAACAACAACACATCCAAACCACCCCCGCCCCCACCCCTGGTAAGGGTTTCAGACGTGAATGTGAGAAACAAAAAGGAATAATTACAAAAAAATTAAAACGGAGCGGGGAGGATAAAGGGGAGGTGGGATGCACACGGTGGATGTACTGTTGTTGTGGTTTCCGTCCTCACAGCTGTAGAAAGGTGCTGGTGCTCTGAGCCTGCAGGAATTCACTCATTCCCAACACCAGAACTGGACAGGCAGGTCCCTAAAGTAACCACAGGAGAAGAGAGTGGGGGGGCTGGGGTGGGGAGGCGTGTCGAGGAGCACTTTATATACGTTTATTCCCATCAGCTGACAACGTTGTGATGTCACTCCTTCAGATTTCCCTCTGCGTAGGGCTCCTCTGTCCCACCGATTCTTTTGTTTTGTTTTCCTTTGCAGCTTCTTTGTATCCAAAATGAACGCAGCACTTTTAGAGTCAGTTTTGTTTATTTCCTATAGTCTTCATATACCTCAGGGTATATTTGCTCTCAAGGCATGTATGAGTGCCCCCCCCCATGTGTGCGTTAGGAGACCACGGCTGCGGCGGTGGAGGAAGAAGACGTGACTCCTGCGTTGGAAGTGCTGTTGGAGCCGTAGACGCTGGAGCCGGCCTCCTGGCTGCTGTTGCTGAGCAGGCCCGAGTTGCTGGCCCGCAGGATGGCGCCGGCGGCGCTGCAGTGTGGCCTCGGTCCCGGCTCCGGCGTGTAGGTGAAGGTCAGTGTGGTGGAGTAGATGATGCCGTCGTTCCTCACCAAAGTGACGGGCACCTGGACGGGCTGCCGCACCCAGCGCCAGCCCTCGCGGAAGGCGGATATGTCGGGCACCACGCACAGCATGCTCTCGGCACACCTGCAGGGAGACACGATGATGGAGTCACACTGCAGGAAAGACTCCGTCTGGAGTTAGGGTGGAGCTTCTATTCGTTTTTACTTTGACTTTATAAGGATTAGACCAAATCAGTGAGTCACAAGGAATCAGCTCTCTGTGGATTTTGGAAAATTGGGTTTTTACATATAAGAAACATAACACTGAAAATCAACTCATAAAACCATTTTGGGATTCCTGGTTAATTCAGCAAACATGACCGAACCATAACAAACCCATTACTGCCATAAAGCAGTGCTGTTTACAGATTCTCCAGCTCACACATAATGTACAGTGAGTAATATATCAGCTGACAAATTCCCTGCTGCCCAGCGTTATCACCTATAAGTCTAAATATATACCCAAGCAGTGCAGGGACCTCGGTATATGTTTAGACCCATCCACAGAGTGCATGGGTTGGAGGCTCGGTGGACCTGCACTGACTTAGGTAGGTGGTCACTTTGATGTTCCTGTACTGCGTGTGTGGCAACGATAAACACATGTAGATGAGTCGCTCGGAGAAACTCAACATGACAGGATAAGTTAAGAAAGGGGGATTTTACAAGGTATGTGTGGTATATTGTCTAATAAATACATACAGCTAACACAAAATGGGCAAATTATATTAACTAATCTGAAGTTGCCACTAATAAGTATTAAGAGCAAGAGAGTAAACACTTTGTTCTTTAACTGAATCCGTCATTTATGCTCATATATTAAACATTGGCCATGTTTAATATGAGCCTTACTCTCAAAACATGAAGACCGTGTATTTACAAGAAATTCCTTGTTCCCACAGCTCTGAGTTAAATAAGCAGAGGAAAAGAGATGGATGGCTCTTTCTCTCTGATGATCAGACTGCTCTAAAACCTCAGCTGTTTTTTTCCTACTATAGGGGCTTTGTATGACATCAGTGAAATGGGATATTCCTAATGTGTCCATCTCAGGTACACAGCTAAAAGGTAAATGGTAAAAGGACTGGTTCATTTCTACTCCGAGCACTCAAATGGCTTTACACTTGCCTCATTCACCCTCACACACTTTCTATGTAAGTGCTTTCTTCTGAGAAGAACTTGGAGATAGTATCTTGTGGAAGGCTCCTTGAAGCATACAGGAGCAGACGGGGATTGAACCACCAATGATTAGTACGCGACCTGCTCCACCACCTGAGCCACAACTCTGTCTATGAGCACAAAAGTCCCGCCCACCTGCTGTGGTTTACAGGGGGCAGCTAATCAAAAGACAACTGGCTTAAAGGGAAGGACAGTGGCTTGTTTTACAATGAGCGGCTGCACCAAGGTCAGGAAAAGAACAGGTGAGGATTATTTCAAACTTTGAATCATGCAAAGCAACTCTAGTGAAGTCCATAAATAAAGGTGGAAATTAGCAAACCAAAACTATCAGTAACTACAGTGCATATTACCTCTTCAGATTACTCATAATGGACAACAATCTTGGGATAAAAAGAAAAAAGCTAGCCACGGTGGTTTCTTTTCCCCCCTTCACTTAACCTGGTAACCTAGAACATGTTCAAAAAGCAGCAGAAAGCTGAGACACAAAGCACATCCCAGTGAATCCCAACAAAGCCCCACCTGTACATGGTCTCAGCCTCAACGTCTCCGAACCAGACCCGCAGATTTGGAGTGAAGTTCTGTCCCGTCAGCTCCAGCATGGCGACATCCCCGCCGCCGTTTAGCTGCAGACAAAGAAGATAAACAAACCTGGGATGTAGTGCAGGTGAAATGTCCTGTTAAAGGGGGGAATTTAAAAAAATCTAAACTGTCTCTTTTGTATACCTGTAAGCTCTCCACCACAGGCACCGGGGTGACAGGCGAGTGGACGGGGCCCATGCCCTCGTAGAAGGTGTATTCGGCCTTGTCTGTGCTGATGATTGTCCAGGAGGCGCCGTCGTTGATCATCTCCTTGTTTGGTTCCTTTGGGCATGGAGTGGCCTGGGGGGGGGAGACCCAAGACAACTTGACCAAAACATCTACCCACAGGAAAATAAGCCGGGCACAGAAGAAGAACTGAACTCAAATTCAATGTCAAGTCAGGCTGCCTGGAGCCTTTTTCAGAACGCTACAGCAATCATCCTCAGTCATCGGTGAATAGTATGATTGACTTAATCTGAGGGTGACACGACCACGACCCTGAAATGATGCGTAGAGATATAAGAGTGACACTGACTTGAAACTGGATGATCCTTTCTTGGGAAAGGCACAGGTACATGCGCTCTGTGTCCTTCAGGTAGAAGGCACACTTGTGGAGCTGGGAGACGGGGTCATCGGCGTCCAGCAGCGCCGTCTGCTTGTCCACCTTCCGGATGATCTGAAAGGACATGAGAGGGGAACAGATTAGCCGACTGCACGATGGGAAAAAGGAATCGGGCAGGGTGAGCGTTGGAGAAAATTAAGTGCAAAAAACAAGAAAGAAACTGAATTAAGGAAAAAATGACAGTGATCTGGAAGCAAGGGGGAATGAAATGCAGGACTGCATGAGCAGGGAGATTAAGGAGGAGGGGGACAGGACACACAAGCAGAAAAGACAGAAGAAAAGAAAACAATGTCACGAGAAGTTCAGTCAAAACATGAGTAATACGGTACAAACATCAGGCTGCTGCTTTCAGAAAAACTCAGCATTAAAAAGGCTTTCTGCTATTTCACGGTCAGCATTTGCAGAGTTTCACCATGGATACGTCACAAAGGTAGGTTTAAATTTTATTAACTTAAACAGAAAAGAGGGGTCACTGCGTTTGGTGCCGCTAACCTCTATGACCGCGGCCCTTTTAAGGAGTTCTAAAACTCTCGGGAGTGATCTTTGACATCAATCTAACTTTTGCTAAACAAATTAATGATGTTGTTGGAACGAGCTTCTTTCATCTCCAGTCACCTGCAAAGGGGAAGCTTTTCCTCTGGTTCAGAGACTTTGAGACTGAGCTATCCATGCCTCGATTTCATCTCGATTCGATCAAAGTAACGCTCTGTATTTGGACGTCAGTCTGTCACCGCTTTAGCAAACAGCAGCTGGTCCAAAACGCTGCAGCGCGGTCATTAGTTGGCACGTGCTAGTGATACCACGTATTGGCTGTCAGTCAGTTATAAGATTTCATTAGTAGCTTTTAAGGTCCCTCTAGAGCAGGGAAATCTGCTGAACAAATGCTCCCGTCCAGATTAAAACACAGAGGTGACCCTTAATTTGTCATATTTTAATAATAATTGAACATCTTTTGTAGTAGCCAGTTTATTCTAAGTGTGTTTCTTCTTCTTCTGCATGTCTGTTTGGAGCATAACGTGCCATCTTCAATATGCACGATGCGACGTGCCGCAGTGTTGCATGACTCATCACTGAAGAATGTGATTAATGGTTTCAAATACTGTTGTTTGGACAGTTTTTGATATGGTCTATTAAACAGCTCTCACATTTATTCGATATCAACGTGTTTCTCTTAGTCTTAGACTAGTTGGTTGGTCCGGTTCACTTTCATCTGACTCAATGCCTTAAGTATGTTAACCGGGAAAGGCTGGATTCGTCCATCCTTGCATTACAGTTTCATATTGTGTCATTGTTGTGAAACAGTGTGATTGTTACCAGTCTGGGCAGGGCCATGCCGGTGACGGAGCAGACCAGCTTGACCGTCTGGCCGTAGTGGATATAACCGTCTCTCACAGTGAACTCCTCTCCTTCTGACTCCTCATCGTCCACTGCAAACACCAAGCACAGGAACAGGCAGTCAATGCTGCAACCAGCTGCCCACACGCACACGCTTTGGTTTATACACTAAAGCCAACATTCAATCTATCAATCAGCCCGTCACGTTCTTTGTCTGCGATGAATCACGTGTGTAATTACTACAACAAAGAACAAAGCTACGACTACAATGAACAGCGAGAGGGTGACATGTAGACAAGGTGACAGGCTGTCAAACTGCATCGCTGTTCTCGTCAATGATCAGAAGCTTGTGTAACAGATATGAAACCTGATGGAGACTCACACAGGTGGATGTAGAAAGCGCCCCACTGTTGGGAGCTGGCGTGAAAGTTGCCACCCTCCACGTGTAGATACCGCGTGCTGACTGTTTGGGAGCGCAGTCGGTTGAACAGTGCCACCTTGGTCCCCGATGCAATGCACACTGTGGGCGGAGACGAAAGCGTGGAGACACGGCCGGTTACATAACGCACCAAAAACAAGTTGCTTTCAGGTCGGCGTGATAACAGAGAGATAAGACGTCTGCCAGCTGGCAGGACGTGTCCTGTGTGTAGCACAGGTGTGCCACATGTGACATAACTGGGTTACTGGACACTCCATTTTCACTACACTGCCCTCTGGTGGCTAGAAATAGTATTGATCGACTAACCGATTAGCTCAAAACACTTTGTTTTTAAAAAAAAATTACATTAAATCATAAAATTCTGAGCATATTTTAAAAAGTAATGAACAAACTAAGGCTATAAAATATGCAAGAATAAAACAAGTAGAAAAATGAAGTTAGAAGACAAATTCAAATATCATTTACGTTTCAGAATATTCAGTGCAAGATGGAAATAATGCAAATTAGCAGCTTAATTTAAGCTTTTTCTCAATATCCTCACAATGGCTGTAAGAAAACCCCCACATGTGCCTTCTTATTGGCTCCCTAAAGAAGAAAAGAAATCAAACCTTATTCACTGTTAAATGTTTTGGTGCAGGAATTGGGGAGACGCCCATTGGTGCTTAAATACTATAAAAACAATACTTTGTCTTCTACGTGCCTCCTTCTCCTGTTTAACCTTCATCCAAGGTTTTAACCTCTGTTCTTGCCTTCACTTCTAGTCTTTCGTAGCAAAGCAGTCTTTCTGCTTGGACTCTGGTTAGATTGTGGTCTCATTTACGCTCTTACTTCGTCTAAACACCCCCCCTACACACGCGTGTTAGTAAAGGCATCTTCACTCCAGCTGATCCATACTTTTACAGGGTAAGCGAATCTTAGAAGAGATACAACCAATCCAATGTTTTCCAGCTGCAGTGAGAATCAAAGTACTTTTCCCTGAGCTGCTAATGAAGCTCTGCTGACTCTGTGGTAAATCCAATCAAGTCTTCACAATAAAAGCATCCTGCCCTGAGTGTGAAGCAGCAACAGCGGGACGTTTTCAGTTTACATCGGCAGTAACTCACAACGCCGACAGGCCTGAAAACGAACCATAAAATAAACCGCAAAAGTGCCGAGAGCCTCACAGAGAGAGCCAGTTTACAAACAGACGTCAGGGTACGAGGCCGGCACGTCCAGGTCGTGGTCTGTACCGAATATCTTGAATGATTTTGCGGCTCGAGCCAACCAAAAGAGAGACCCGTGAAACGCTCTAGCTGGCTATGCAGTAAATCATGTTAAGCGCATGTTAATATGTTTAAGGCTGTTGTCAGGGTTTAAATTTACAGCTCTGGCAGACTGAGCTACACACTGATTTGACATGAAGAGTGAATCTAAAAGGTAAACACTCACAGCGAACCTCTAAACTTATCACAAATGACTCACAGTCAGCATTTTTGAGGGACTGCTTCTTTTTGGAGGGCTTGGAGATGACTTTGATCCTCTTGCTGAGGAAGACGCCGATGTCCGCGCTGTTGCCGTAGAACATCTTGACAGACAACATGAAGTGCTTTCTCTTGTCAGAGTCGGATATGTACAAGGTTTTGGCTGTGCAATAGTTCTGAATGAGGAGGCAGAAAAAGAAAGACATAAACAATCAGATTCATTTCTGTTCATGCATATTAAACATATTAAGCACTACAGGAGAAAAACAAGCTCCAAATGTGCTGGAGGCATGTGACAGACTTCCTGTTTCTGTACTGCAGGGTGCCTGGAGGCTATACCGCACAGCTATGGCAGCTTCTGCTGAGTAACTCCATGTTCCTGTGCCAAGGTAAGTGACAGAGTGACAGTATGTGTGTGGGTGGGTGCGTGTTGTACCTTTCCCTCTAAGTTGAGCTGTTGCATTTCTTGGTCGCTGTTGCCGATGCCGATGAAGGCGCAAGGCTGCGACTCCTGGTCGGAGCAGCCGTCTCGCTCCATCTGGTCCTTCTTTTTCTTCCAGCCGCTGCCCATCAGGTACACACAGGGAGGAGGGCAGAAGAACCTGGAACACACGACACACGTGCAGCTATAAACGCCAGCATCTAAATCTTTAGAGGTGATGAAATAAATTTCTTTTTGTGGTGATTTTTTGAGACAGAGATTTGTTGAGAGTTGCCAAAAAACCTGAACCGTCTCTGTGCATTCAATAATGTTGAGGTTGAGCTCAGGGGAAGCAAATCCATGTCGGAAGGTGCTTCACTTTGCATTTTTCTACCCATGTATGCTTTTACTGCACTGGCAGTGTGTTTGGGATCACTGTCATGCTGAAAAATGAAGCTGCTGCAAATCAGATGCTTTCCAGATGATTTTACACGGTGGATCAAAATCTGACGGTACTTTTCTCGGTTCATAATTCCAATCTTAACAAGATCTCCGACACCACTGACTGAAATGCAGCCCAGACAATGACACAGCCTCCACTGTGTCTTACAGCTGTAAACACTCAGGTTGTACATCTTTCCTGACCTCTGCACAATATACACGATGACTGGAACCCAAAAAAAAAAAAAAAAAAAAAAGATCCAATCAGATGTGCTGTCACTGAGTTTTAGTCGAGTTCTTGGGTATTCTGGCACACCTCAGCCTTTCATCCCGTTTCCCTTCCTTATGAACGGTTTCTTGACACTTCCACTGAGTCCATGTCTGATGAGGCTTTAATGAAGAGCCACATGCATCTCTCAGGTCCTGTTTCTGGCCATGTCGGATCTCCCCCCCCCCCATTTCTGAATCTCATGACTTTCAGATACTGTTCATCTGCTGCAGGTGGTTTTTAGATCTGTTGCTTCTTTTGTCCTGAACTTGTCCAGTTTCCTCAATTTTAAGGACACACTGCACACAACGCAGATAATATACCAAAGTTTTTAGCCAACTTTGGGAATCACTTGGTTGGTGTAAAAATTATATTTAATTATATTTGGAACTTTTTTTGTAGATCTAGCTAAAGGAATGGAAAAACGATGCCTTTTGTGACAGTCTGCTAACAACGAAGTGTCTGAAGATATAATGTTAAAATTAGTTCTTTGCCACGTTGTCAGAAACTCTGGTTCGTTCCTTGATTTAGGGGCGTTTTTAGGCTGGAAGGAGTCATAGCTCAATGTTAAGTGGCTTAACAAGCAGATGATAGGTGTAAATGTGGGGAAATAAAAGAGAGAAGAGAAGGAATAAGAGAAGGAACAGAAAAGACCTGAGTGTGCACTTCCTAATTTGAACCAGAAGAGGGCACTCTTGCACCAAGCTCCAGCTGGAGTCCAACTTGGGTCAACAAGCTGTTGTGTACAGCTACAGTAAAACATCTAAAGGCTGTCACGCTTCATTCTGCAGATGTTACCGTGATCGGTCCAGAACCTAAATGATCTGTCAAGAAACGAGAAGCAGCATTTTGAATGAAGTCTAACTTTCCTTCCCCCATTTTTAAAAAGGTCCCTCATTTTACTTCTCTTCTCCTTTCAAACACACGTTACTACTATGAAAACAAGAACTGCCTTGAAATAACTCGCAAGTTCAGCTTTGTTAAAAGAGAAATCCACTCATTACAGAACGAGCACACACTTCAAATAAATTCATGTGCGTCAGTGTGGAACTGGAAAGCGACCTATTTCGCAACACCAGTGTCTGTCTCTGTGGGTGTTTGTCTACTTTCACCTCCTATAAAAAGCTCAGACAGCGAGAGAGGCAGCTTAGAAAGAGGGAGACGGCACATTAACATTCTCAGTGCGTCCACTTTTGGGGGTTTTTTCCTGGGGCGCTCTCTTGTTAAGGCACAAAAAAGGAGGAATTAAGCGGTCTGACGCAAAACATGAACGCAGCCTTTTGCAGGCCAGGAGGATGTTTAAACAAATACCTGCAGCTACATCCGAGCACGGCCTTTGGGAGTTGCTTATCACCTGAAAAAGTTCAACCTCAATGCACAAAAGAGCAGCATTAAATATGTGTGACAGATGTGTTTGAATGTTTCTCTTCGCTGTCACTTTAACTGGATGAGATGGCTTAAAAAGTCCTCAGAAGAATTCGTCTCAACCTCTTTTCCTATCTCTCTCCCTCGCTCCGTCTTCTGTTGCGCTCCAACTCTCAGAGGTGTCTGGGAGTTGGCGCGCAACAGCCGATTTACCAAGAGATAGGCCCTGATGAGATCGCAAGCAGCGCTGCACCTTGGCCAAGAAACCGAGTGGTGGGGAGGAGGAGGATAGGGGGGCTCAGGAGAGTTGCAAAATGAGCATGAGGTGTGGAGGAGCGCTATAAAAAAAGCTTCTAAGTGAGAGATAAAAAGGTGAGAGCATAGTTACAGGAAGGGCCCGAGGAAGATGAGCTAAGAGGAACAGATCCAAAAAAGGAAGGAAAAAAAAAAAAAGCATGTGTTACGATGGCGAGCTATCACCCTGCGTTTAACCAGCAACATCAGGTACGGCATGAAAATGACAACATTAGGTTGTCACACGTGCGCTCGCCCGTGGAACCTCACACCGAAAGGCTTCACGGTGCTGCGAGACGCCGCCGCCTCCTCCTCTTTTATTCTCGTAGCTCTCAGTCGCAGCTCCTTCTTCTTCCGGCTCTCTGTGGTTTTTAACGTGGCCTCGTGGAAAAGGTCGCCTCTCGCTTCCTTTTTTGACCTCCACAGATATCAGAGGTCAGAGGGGTCAGCACAGAGGCACCGTGCTGAGGAATGTGCTTTCGTTCGTCCCCTCTTGACTAATGTACACTACCTGTGTTTGCCACAATAGTTGAATATAGATTAGAGGATAGTATAAATGCCTCTGGGCCACAGGTGTCTGCAACCAGTGGGGACGGCTAAAGGCTAAAACAAACAAAAATATCCAAATTTCCTTAAAAAAACAAAAAAAAAAAAAAACTAAAATTTAAAAACTTTTTTTTTGTTGCTTTTTTTAACTAGATGTTAAACTGTGTCCGTTCTTTGAATTATTGTGATGCAAACAGATAAGTGCTTGTAGCACGTTTATAAATAATCAAACTTCTGAGGAAAAATAAACTGCGTTTACAAGAACTGTCGGCTGATCGCAATCTAAGCAGCATTATCGCCACGGGCTGAAGACGAGAAGCCGCCAGCATCACTAAGGAAGTAAATTTAGCCAGCTGGCTACCAGAGATGGGCAGTAACGTATTAAAAGTAACTGTAATCTGATTACTTTTTCCAAGTATCGCGTAAAGGATTACTTTGGAAAAAAAGGTAATAAGATTACTGTTACTTTCCCGTAAGCAAACTGCATTACTAAACAATGACTTTGTTTGTGAGAGTGTCTCACGACAATGACATACGAGTGTGCGACATCGAAGTGTGCAGATCAACAATGGATAACATGGAGTGCGGGAGAGAGTACGACCATGCAGCAGGCTGAAAGGTCTATTGCTTTATAACGTATTCAGGTTGTGTGTCATGTTTTTTTTTTTAAGTAACTTAATCCACTAATGACTATGACTATGACCACCCAGATCTCACCCACAGGCGTGTGTGGCTGTGCCCAGCGTATTTTTCTCACATCTTTTTGAGACGCGTCTGCAGACAGTGAAGCTGGAAATTTGAAAAGTGGCGAGTCACACAATCTCAGCGTGTTGTTTATGATTTTAAGTTTATAAGAAGGGGTTAAACATTCAGCAGACTGATGAGCTTAAAGGGCTGATCAGAGCGATTTACAGTCGTCATTTTCTTCTTTGAAACCAAACAAAACCACCGAGCTGACAACTTAAAAACAGAAACCAATGAGAGACTGGATGATCGCAAATACACTCCATGGTGAAATCCATACAATGGCAGTGATGACAATAATGAGCATTTCTGGTCACGTGAAGGGCTATCCAGCGATCATCAGTTATTTAGTGAGACGTTCTCAAGGAGGCAGACCACTAAAATATTCAAATAAAACAAAAATCCTCCCCCACGAAGTCCTACACGTCTAAAGAACTGCAGACTCCAGGATAAAACGTAGCAGGGGCCGCTAAAGAATCAATTGTGTGATGTGTTACTGTGAGGGTGAAACACTGACCGGCATTAATAGATTTGCTTTAGATTCAAGACCAAAATCTTTTAAGGATTCCCAAAACCTGAAAAAAAACATTAGACAAGAAGCTCCCATTTCATACTGAACTCACCTTTTCTCATTGCCATAGGATTTCTGTGCAACTTTTGCGTGTAGGATCATGACAGTTTGGTCTCCTCGCTCCTTCAGGTAATTCCTCATCGCTTCTCTGCAGGAAGAGAAAAAAGAAGAGAGATAAATTAAACCAGCTATGTTCTAATCTGAAAGAGGAAGTGACGTGAGTGCAACTTCACAGAAGACTTAAGAGGAGGCCACCCTCCTTGTGTATACATGCACATGCACTTGCAGCGACCTCTGAAAAGCCAGAGCCTCCACAATATGCTTGCAGAGAAGCTGAGCTCTCCCTGGGTCCATCCGAGGTTTAAGGGGGAGCAAGAAAACACCAGAGCCAAAACAACAAAAACAGAGCTGAGCTCATCACCAAAGATTCCTCATGTCGTGTCAAAAATGTTGCAAGGGCCGAGCTCCGATTACTTCTGTCAACTCTGCCAAAACTTCTCACCTCCCGCTACACCCTCACCCCCCCCTTCACAGGCGCGAGCCGAAAGCTTGCTCGACTGAGAGGCGCGGAGGTGAAAGATCGGGCTTAGACGCACAATTAAAGCACGTCATGCGCATGGAGAGCAACACACTTTGACCCGATCGCTACACACGCACAGATGTCAGTGACACCTGACACGCCAGGGGATCCTCACAGGGCTTCCCACTCAAACACGCACACACACGGCTTTTCACTCTAGCACGTTATACTAGGCCGCACACTCGGCTTAGACATGCCCTTTGTTATGAAAAGCAAGGGGCCTCCTCAGTGTGTGTGCGGGACACAGGGGCATTCGGGGGAGTGGGCGATACAGAAGAAGAGGAGAAAGCATGATGAGGCAATTATTTTTCTGATTATTTCAGTCTCACTGCAACACTAAAAATCTGTTTTTTTCTAAATTACTGATCGCCAGCAGCTATAAATGAGACTAATAGGAGGTACGATCCTGGAATTCCACACAGCCTGACATCACTTAAACACCACATGGAGAAAATGATATCAAGCCGGGGTGGACGGGGGAGTGCGTACGACTCCAGTTCGACTCGGTGGAAAACAGTGGTTTCGTTAAAACGTTGGACTTCTCCCCACGGATGCATTTAGAATGCGATTACGTTATTAAAGGACGTAACCCTTCTCTGGGAAGTGAATCGCTGGTGTCACACACACACTCTAATCCCGCCGGGTGGAGTGGAGGGGGACTCCTGTGCTCAAAGCTCTGATTGATTATGGAGAGAAAACACAGTCCAGGCCTGCTGATGTCAGACCCTGCAGGGCACATGTCACACCTCTGATACGGCCTGTGACCTACTGCTCCCACAGGCAGGATGACACACACACACACACACACACAATCCCATTTATGCAGGATTAGGGCAGTTACCACTTAGAGCAGGGGTCCCCAATCCCAGTCCACGAGGGCAGGTGTCCTGCAGGTTTTAGATGTGTCCTTGATCCATCACAGCTGATTTACATGGATAAATTACCTTCTCAACATGTCTTGAAGTTCTCCAGAGGCCTGGTAATGAACTAATCATGTGATTCAGGTGTGTTGACCCAGGGTGAGATCTACAACCTGCAGGGACACCGGACCCCTGACTTAGAGGAAGCTTCTAAAAGATGGTTTGCATCTTATGCATGTCCTAAAGACCCTAAATAAAAACATTTAGATCAAGCCAAAAAAAAGATAAAGATATACAATTTGGAGCGACAAGTAAAATACATGAACAGTTTCAGTTTGGCAATCACGTGGCCCCCTAACAGCGGGATCTTAGCTTGTCTGCCTAGAGACTGCTCTGCAACCGTCTGCCAAACACCAGTGATGGAAGAAGAGTGTATTCACAGACCAGATGGTGAAAATCTCCGTGCGATTGTGTTGACTGATAGCAGACTGCCACAGTTGGCCGTAGTTTCAACTACTCAGAGCTGTAGCCTTACTGCTGTAGTCAGTACATTTCAAAAGACAACTTTTACTCTGAGGATGGACTTTACATCTCTGCAGGTTTTTAGTTTATACTACCGCTCAGCGACTTCATATGCTTACATGTAAACTACAGGCTGCTGTGGCAATCTGCGAGGGACCAACGGAGTCACAACAAGATTTTTGGTGCATTCGCCCCGTTTGTCATTTCACCCAGTGACAGCCAGCAGCCTCCAGGAGCCACTCCCCCACCAATCGGTGACCAGAGGACGCATCGTGTCCAATATGGCAGACACCTCGAGCAAAGTACACATGAGAAACTTCTATAACACAGGAACACAGCCTCTCTAATGGCATCTGACATTAAACTAAACCTATCAGTTTTGCATAACCTTTAAAACATCCAACAGTGTTAGCTTCAAGCACCTAAATGAATCAGAGAACATCTTTAAATGATGCTTTACCCCCATTTTCAGCTGTGTTTTTTTTTTAAAATCTTGGACTCACTAATGGAGAAGCTTTATATAAGTCACACTTAAAATAATCTATGTTTATCTTTAATAATGGTCTGGGTGCACACCCAGGCAGCTTTATCTGCCATCCCCCTCCTGCTAAACCAGCTTTCTTCTGATTGGCTGCACCTTGCAAACAGAAAACAATATGTATAGGACCATGTAAGTGACATCATCTCTCACTGATCTCATACGGAGTCATGAGTAGAGAAAACAAAACACAAATCCTTGTCTTTGGGCTTACAAAGATCATCTATGCATGTGCTGACCTCCTTATAAGAGCAGCACGACTATAACGGTCCACTCAGACCATGCATTCGGTGCCATACTTAATGAGATCTTTGGGCTCCGTCACTCATTTTGAAGCTCATGTTGTCAACACTTTGGAATCAGTTCTTGTGCTCCTGACAAAAGGAAATAAAACACCAAATTAAAAAAAAGAAACGTGATATCACCCAGCCTCAGATTCAGGGTCACGCTCATAAAAAAGGGAAGCAGTTTGATCAAATATTTAAATACAATGGCACGTAGTTACTGCACGACCACAAAATGTAATGCTAGTGTTTGTTAAGTGTCGTGCGACAGCCTCGGCTTGTGGTTGACACCGTTTCAGCGCTCACCAAACCCTTCCAGACCACTGTGGCTGAGTTGGGGAGAGACCATTCCCCATCAAGACACAAATGCTTTGGCACGATCGCGCTTTGACTCACAGCGGCTCTTTATGCATGCCGATTTTCACGTCAGAGCGCCTCCAAACAACCACTGAATAGATAACAAAGATGCACCACATGTGGCAGCAATCATGTGAAACTGAATATCCTATGATCAGATGGAAAAAAGAAAAAAAAAAAACAACACAAAAGTCCCCAACACTGGGTCCATCGATCCAAACTTGTGCTGTGTAGCCAAGCTTTGTTCAAACCCGCAGAATTTTATATGAAAATCTAGCGGGGAACAAGAGCTTTATAAAGATACCAAATATGTCTCGAAGGATTTCGGGGGAGACGAGTATAAAATGATGCAAAAGACATCAAAAAAGATGACAGATGACTATCACGACACAGTGAACCAGAAACATCAGGACTTTACGCAGGAGCTGTGTATCAGAGGGGGAAAACCCTAAAAATGGATTAAAGCAGTATTTGTGCATTTGTTCTCTATATTGCACTGTTACGCTGTGCATTATTATTCAGTCTTCAGTAATGTGTCAACAGGGTTTTTCCTGTCACCCCACCCAAAACGTTTGGGCTTCCCCCCCTGAAGGAATACGGGTGTAATAAAAAAAAAATTTTCTCTTCTTACTGAAGCATAAAACAGACAATTCAATATGATATTTACTGCCTAACATACATTTTGTTCCAAACCGAGGTGCCAGAAATATATTTTTTTCTTTTATACACAAACAGCTATGCCCATGTGTGTATTACTAATAAAGACAATGGAAACGGGACATGCTTCCAAAATCTTTTTCGTGCTAGAAAATGCAGGTGGCAGCAGGAGAGTAACGAGATTCCCGTCTCTTAAATGACTCTTATTCGTACGTCTCGCATCGATATCGACAAAGACGCGGCTTTGATCTAACACATTCACCCTAACACGACAGGGCCGTCTTGAGTAATCATTTGTAGCTTATACAGAGTGAAACACGAGCGCACGCACGCCACACAGACTGAGCGCTGGAGACGGAAGGAGAAGTGAGAGAGACTGTGACCAGAATCAGCTCTACTTCCTGTGCAAGACTAGCACACAGCAGATGCACGAAATTCCAGTGCAAATCAAAATACGAGTAAGACCAAATTTCAAAACATTACACTGTGTTCATTTGTATTTGAGGGATTAAAAAACAAAACTGGGGGTAAAAATAAATAAATAAATCATAAATCAGCCCTTCATTCATGCAGAGACAGGAAACGAGGGTCACTTCATTTAAACCGAGTACGCCCACATGTAATAAAACCAATAACCACAGATAAGAGTCTACATCACACACTCACACAGAAAAGTAACAGCATCTGAGCTGCAGGTTTAATTTCTGACGAGCTTTATTTAGGTCCAAAAAATGTGCTAAAAGGCAGTCTGTGACAGCGAGTGAAAAGAAGGAGGGAGGTCAGAAATAAAACGTGAGGGGAGGAGATCGGGCAAAAGAAAAATCGGAACATACGAAACAAAAGACGAGACGCTTGAGAGGTGAGACAAAAATGTGCCAGACAGATTTATAAAAAGAGGCATATCTTTAACAGCAGGCGGTGTGTGTGTGTGTGTGTGTGTGTGTGTGTGTGTGTGTGTGTGTGTG